GGGCCCCTGGCCGCATCCCCAGGGCAGCCTCGCCTTTGGGACGTCCGCTGCTGCCAAGGCAAACCTCGCCAAACTTTCCCCAAACTCAGCGGGCTGGGAGGGACCCTGGCCGGAGGCGCGCATGCGCTCCGCCTGCTGCTCGGCGTTCCCAGGGTGCCGGAGCGCCGGGGTGGAGTCGGAGAAGTATCCCCGGAGGCCCGCCTAGCCCCTGCTCCCAGGGCAGTCGGGGTTCGGGTGCTGTCTGTCTTCCCTGAAGGCTAGAAGTGGCTGTCCGGCGCCGCCTCTCCGCAGTTCTGCTATCTTTGCGCATGGAAGTCTCCAAGAGGGGCTCCAGGAAGCGGCGAGCGGAGAGGGCGGCGAACGACCTGAAGGAGGGCAGGAGATGGGACACAAGGCTTCCTTTGGGGAGACCCGGGGCAACTACGCCCCCTGGCCGGGCGGGAAGCCCTCGGGCGGCCGCCTGCAGAGGGCCCCGTGGCCCGGGGCGCAGGCTGTGGCGAGCTGGTTTTGCCTCTGGGCCGAGGTGCCAGCGCTAGCAGCGGCAGTAGCGGGGGCGCAGGTTTCTGGCCCGCTCCTACTTTCGGGCCCCTGGGGATCTATCCTTGCTTCTTGGGGGGGCTCGTGGCCCTTGGCTGATCCCCGCAGCTTCGCACCAGCCCCTTCCCTGGGGGGTCGTCACCTGTTCCAAACATCCTGTTGCGCTGACATCGCTTTGGAGGGGCGCCGGCACTTTGCTTGATGGTGGCGGTCTGTGTGGAGGCCCCCAGGCGCCAGGAAAGAATTTAGGGTTCCCTAATAGTGAGAGGCACCCCCTCACCGTCTCTTGTGGCGCGCAGTGTGCTTCACCCCCGCCTGTGTCCCGGGGACCCACGGCGTCCTGGGCACTCCTGCGCTTTGCCCACTTTGGGGACTTCTCATGGAGCTCTTTGCAATTTGAGGGGAAGGATTAGACAAAGATAAGGATTAGAGATACACCAGGGGCTAATTAAATCATCTATTTTTCCTCCTCGTCCCCCCTCCCCGCCACCCTGCAGCCAGATAGGAATCTTTACTCCCCCACCCCCACCCCCAAGTGCTCCTAGAGAAAGCTAGTTCCTTTCTCACTCCTGTCTTGGGAGAACTGGCACTTAGGGGCATTCTCCCTCTTAAAGTGAATTTTTCTAATTATTTCTAGTTTTACCACTTTCTTTTCAGCGATTGCACAGGATCCTCTTCAGCTGCTTTCTTGTTTGGGCCACTGAGCGTCTCCCAAACAGCTAGTGACCTATCTCTGGAGTGCTAGCCTTTGGAATTGGATTCTGATGATAAGGCTAGCTAGCGGATGTTTCTAGAAGGAGTTTTATTATGAAATCCAGTTGGGCAAGCGTCGTGAAATGCATTACAACAGTGTGTTGGCATTTGGGTTTTCACAAAGAGAGGTGGACTCGCAGTCTGGCAACTCAGAAAAAATATCCCCTGACATTGGTCAGTGACATGCTAAATGCAAATAGAAATTTTAAAAAGAGCCACTTCTAAATGAAGGACGCCTGGCTGCAGCCCCACACCTAACACTGGTGCATAAAATTAAATAGTAAGGTTCAACGATTAGCATGTGTGCCAATAGCAAATGTGTGATGCCGCTAAGCAATTATTTGGAAGTTTTTCCATACTTTTGAAAACATACTTGATGCCTCATTTCTTTGATGGCTGCTCAATAGACACCATGAGACGCTAGCTGAGCCGCCCCCCCCCCAGCTTTCCCCTTGCATGCACGGCTTTCATCCAGGGCCTGAATTGTGTTGTCAAAGTTTAGTAGACGAAAGAGGAGGGGGCATGAGAACGGGGAGGGGGGGGTCTTGAAAAGTCTTGGAAATCGGTATATTTTGCAGGTGTAGAATGTGCCTAATAACCATGGCTAGTGCGTGCTCCCCAATGGCGAGGGTCTGACAGGGACAGCTGGCTTAGTTTTCAGTGTGAAAACACCCCCTCGGTGGACCAAACACAACGACACTGACCTTTCTGCGGGGGGAACCGAGATGTGCCTTTGACTGAATTAGCCATAAAGACGTCTTGCTATGACTTTTGTTCCCCACGAGACCAAAGAAATATTGCGTTTAATATGAGAAGTACTGTTCACAGCTTTTCTGTGCCCCTTAAGAAATATTACAGTGCTGATTTACTGGCCCTCTTCCACTGAGTTCGCCCCAAGGCCGGCAGTGGAGGGGTGGGGATGAGGCGGCAGAGGCAACACGCTAAATTGCCTGTTGCCTGTTTCCAAAGTTCTCTCTTTGCAGCAGCAAATTATCAATCTTTTCATCTGACAATACTTTGAAATATATCATTGTCATCCAGAGTTGTTTGATAGATTATCTGCAGGCACACAGCCTTTTCCAAGGTCAAGTTGAAGATTCTTGTTTGCTGTTTAACTGGGTTGTTTAAAAACTCCGAACAATGCCTGCCTGTTAAATTTTCACTTGTTCTCATGGGGCATTCCAAAGCAAGTTTCCTATTGACTGAGTGTCGGGACATTTCATCCTCTCCAGCTTCTAAATTCAGCAACCAGAGCTTGGCCATGAAATCAATAGGAGAAGAAATGAGATCTAACCTTAGCACTTGCAGACTAAGTGCCAAGGAGATTAAGCCGTCTTTCACGTCTCCTCAAAGTGTGTACTAATTTTTCTCTGCATGTCGCAAGCTGGTTAGAGCCACACGCATCTCATTCAGCATTCTGTCTTTATGCTTCCAGTGGGAAGCTGCAAATACACTCCCCTAAAGTAGAAGTGCAAAGAAATTGTGGCCACTCTTGTCTTTGTCAACGCATAACCTGTTGCTCTAAGGACACTTTAAAATAAAGTCAGCCTCTAAATCGTCATGTTTTATGGACATATTTATGTTTTTAATGGAAAGACTGGCTTCACAGTTTCCTCTATATCTGAGATGATTGATTTCTTTTATTCAGCCAAGTTTTATTTACCTTGCGAAAATGTTCTGGACCAATGTGATAAATTACAGATATGCAAATTTCTTTGAATGGTGTTGTAAGTGTGTCTAGCTGGAGCTGAATAACTCCTTGCAAGTCAGTCTGTGCGCGCTCAGGACCCCAGGGAGCTGATCAAAGCACCCATTCTCTTTCATCCCCGGTATTCTCCTCCAAACTATTTCGATACAATATGTTTCCATGATGCACTTAATGTGCTAGGGACATAGAACTCATTACAACCTAGCTAGTTCTGCCGACCTCTTTGTTCCAAGGCAGAAAGTCAAAGAAAGAAGGAAAAGCGCTGCCAGTTGGCAGCTTTCTGAAATGCTAAAGTGTGCGTCATTTTTCACCAGGTCTCGTCTTGATATCCTCAAAAGACAAACTATGAAACCGGCCTCAGCCCTTTCTGGCATTAATTACACTGCTGTCCAGCCGATCTGTTTTTCCTATTATATGCATTTCTCAGCAGGGATTTTTTTTTTTTGCAAGACTAATGCAGCTGCAAGTTAAACGATGAATGCATTTTTATTGCTCTGGAAAAAATAAGTGAAAAGACTGCAAAACATACAACTAAACATTTTTTTAAGGCTTCTGGTAGATAACAGATTTAGGGCGGGACTTGGAGATCTTTGCAACTCTGTAAACCTGAAATTGACCAGAGCCTCAGGCATGTCCAGTGCACCCTCTTGTTCTGTGGGGAGGCTCATTGTGCCATTTGAAATTCTGCTTTGGTACCCAGATAAATCTTGAAGGTGAAACCTTTCAAGGTTTCTGTGAAAATTCGGAAATGAAACAGGCTGTACTGCACCCAACCAGAAGGATGCTTCCAAGGAATTTCCGTCCAGGATAATAGCACACAGAATATAAATTCTATTTCATTTCCTCTGTTTCTTGTAGGGTTGACTGGTTGGTGGAAATGGCTGGCAGCCAGTTCTGGGAAAGATTCCAGACCTGACTCCGATTAACCCTCTCTGGTGAAACTCTGCTGGAAACCAACTCACCAGCAATTGCCATTAATCTACTTACTAATTAAGCCAATTCATTTCTAAAGGAGAAAAATTCCTTTCTTTAGCTAAACTGATGGGAGGAAATTTGAAAGAAGCGCCAAACTGTGTAACTGTAATTCAGCCAAGGACTGCTAAAACAAGGTGTTGATATATAGCAGCAGATTTAAAACAAGTTTCTAGGGCAACACTGCTTTGGAGACGGTGGCATATAGTGCATAGTAGATGAAGCTCGAATAATGCTCCACGGCGCTATGCCACCCCATGTATTTGGGTTGAAAATAACAAGTCTCTCTCCAATTAAACCTAGTGCCTTTTACGCACAAATAAATCGCCTCTCTAGCTTTCTTTTGCGCCAGAGTCTATCAGCTTTATGTGACAGCTACCACAAATATATTTCTTGAGACAATAAATAGCTTTAGAAATTTGTAATCCAGAGCCTAGGATCCTGAAACTGGGCTACAGATTGGGCCTAACTTGTAGTTAGGGGAACAGAAAGGACCAAATTGAACATTACGCACAGAAGAAAGCAAACCAATCTTTCAGTAAATGGTACCTGACATTCCGGAAAGAATAGATACGTGAGTCTTGATCTTGATACTTACCGGGACACAGAACTCTAGAGTTTCCCCACTTACTAAAGAATTGTTTACTGCTTTTAAGAAACGGCTAAGAGCCCTGTGCTGATGTCACATAAGAGTGGACCTCCCTAAAGGAAATTTAAAATCCCCTTTGAGGTTTTACGGTTCTCCTTCATGGAGATTAGTTGGCGGGCGAGGAGGAGGCAAATCAGTTTGATTTCGTGTTAGAGAGAGACTGGATGGCTTAGAGAGGGAGTGACACGAGTTTAGTGCCTCAAACTTTAATTGAGGTTCGTTCCTTCCCGCCCTAAGGCGCTGGGGCACATCTCTGAGCCCGGGCAACGCGGGAATGGATTTGGCGGCCTCTCAGAATCCGTGCGCCCCGCTCACCCAGCACCAGCGAGCGGTTTCCTTAAAGGCTTGGAAAGGTGCGCGCAGAGCGCGCGCTTCGCGTACATCACCCGGAGAGACGGAACAGTTATTTTAGAAACGCCTTGGAGATGGTACCCCTCGCCAGGAAGGCAGGCCCCACGCCAGGATGGTGAGGGCCCTCTTTCTGTGGTCCCGCTCTGCGCAGCCCAGTGTTCTGCCCCGTTACCCAGTAGCATCCATGTCGTTCACTGGGGTGTTCTGGGGTTTCGATGGCTTCTCCAAAGGCTGTTCCTCCAGGGCTCCTGACAACCTCACTAAAAATATGCAAAGAGGAACAGACGTGAAATTTGTTTTACTTACTATATACATCAACCACTCCCCACTCCTCACCCTCAGCTCTTTGCACCACTTTTAGTGGGTCCTCCCAGGCCTGGCCCCAGCTGGGGAGCCTCTTCAGTGACCTGGCTAAGTGGGGTTGGGGTGGGGAGATCAGGCTGTCAGACCCTCCTTGACCTTCGAAATAACGTGTGTCAGCCAAGTTTTCCTTGGAGAGAGTTCTCCTGCTGCCCCAGACTGTAGAAATGGTCTTAGGTGCCTAAGCCAGTGAATCACCTTCTGCTGCAAGTTCCCTCACTAGAATTAGGCGCCATTGTAAGAGTATTAAAACAAGGAGAGGTTGTTTTGTGTTTGGGTCCAGAAATCTAACTAAGATTTAAATTTCCATTTGCATTTTCAATCTTCCCCCCATATGAAATAGCAAATTATAAATGAGAGGGAAAAAAACCAAATTGGCAAGGATTCTGAAGTTGGGGAATGGGGAGGTGGTGCCCTGCCCCCCAGGCTGGGCTCTTTGCTCCGTAGGGAGGGACGTTTACCTGGTGTGTAAATTGTGAGGAAAGCGTTGGGGGTCTGGGACAGGAAAGCCACAACATGGGATGTGATGTTCCAGCTTTGAAGAGGAACAAAGGCCCTGAGCTAATCCTACTGAAACCCAGGAGCGTGGAGAAGGCGACAAAGAATTGCAGCCTGTGGTCACCGGTAGGTGTCAATGTGGACACTTACAGCCTGGGCAGTGGGAGAGGGGGACACAGAGCCAGGCTGTCATTCCAAGGCTTAGCACGAACAAAGATAACAACGTGACAACCTCGGCTTTCAATGGTTGGGAGGTTCAAAGTGGAGTGCCAGCCAGTCTATCTGGGTCAAGTCTTTTCTGAAGTGGTGCCTTTCTTTTTTCAGTCAAGTATGAACCTGGGAAGTTCTTAGGCCCTTTGCTTGAGGTAACTGTTCTTAGTAAACAAAGAATTCTTCAAAATAATGTCCAATTCCCCACCACCTAAGGTGAAGAGATGGAGTTTTGAAGATTCCTGAATATAGCATAAAGGGCATTGTTTACTGCGCCCTAGAGACCTAGATGTCTGCATTAAGCCTTTAAGAACTTGAGCAGCCTACGTCAACTTTTTGGATAAAGTTCATGTATTCTTTTACACATTTAATGCAAAACAAATAACATTTCCTTTTATGAAACTATGCATACACGTAGGTGAGTCTATGGGTACTGTAATTTAGAAAGTATTCGTCAGACAAAGAAGTTTCACTAGTAAAATGTTGAAGGAATAATGGAAACCTGGTAGAATTAAGTATGCCTGTGATTTCAAAATCACTATTAGAAATCAGCAGCCAAGGCATTTACCAACAAATGAATCTCCTCTATAATCTGGGAAAGATAATTGGAAATCTTCTGCTAATGAAACGGATCAGCAAATACTATCTTAGAGAATTAACAAACGGAAATGATAACAAATTATGTTTATCTTAAGAATTCACATTGTTTTCCTTAAATTCCGCTATCAAAACAAAAGTATAGGTTAAAAAATCATAATGCAACAAAATTCTGGTTTTCCTTAGTTGTAATGTTTCCTAAATAATAATAATAAAAAGGATGTAAGTATCCTTAAAAGACTAATGACATTTCACAGGTAATGCAATTTAGAAAGAAACACTTCCATGTTTTCTTTTCCAACAATGTGCATTTTTGTAAACTGCTATAAATTGCAATTCAAAAGCACTGATCTCGCCATCCCCAATCATTTTTTATACTGATCAAATGAATGCAGATACTCCCATTTGGGAGGGGCGACATGACACTTCACTTGGCAGTTCTAAACAGGTCACAGACCTTTCACAGACCCTAAGGCAGTGGGAGGGAGCTCTTTACTAAACCGTGTAACCAAATCAAACCAATGGTTACCCCTTTTCAAAACCATTGGAATGGTTTGCACAATGCTATTCACATAGCAGCACAGAAACTGAAAGGATGGTCATCCAATGGAAATTTCTTTCCTTTTGTTTAAACTTGCAGAGCTCAAAAAGTAATACTTGAAGGAAAACAATTACATTTGCTATGATAAAAATCATAAACAACAAACATGCATTTTTATCAGCATCACGTGGCATAGCTGTAGCCGTCCATTGGTATGTATATATATGCACATGTATATATGTATATGTATGTATATTTATTGGAGATGTTGCTTTGTTTGAAACTTTAGGCACAAAGACACAACATGGCTGCCCTGGAGATGACCTATTGCTTTCAAGTTGCTTGAACACATCAGAATTTCCATTGTTAAGGTTGATTAATTGAAACTGATAAGTTACCATGAATAAAGATTGTTTTTCTGTTTAATGTGGTGGGCCTGATTTGGTAAATGCCTCATTCACGTAGCTTTGCAGTGCAGCATATGGGCAAGAGTCATTCAGTATCACAACCATATACAATTTATTATGCTTGTATGGGCACAACCAAAGGGCCTTTCTATTTTAATGACAAAGTTTCAATGAAACATTCCATTTAAAGAGTCACTAGTAACATGAAGAGTGATTTTGTAATTTATTCTTAGAGTTTCTATCTCTCAGTTTCTGTGAATAGTTTAAAAGGTATAATATTTAAATACAGTAAAAAAACGATGCATACATATAAATTATACCTTAGCATTAGTCAATGGGAATACAGCAGACTTGATCTTAAATGTTAGCACACATATGAAAAGCAAGCACTTTATCATCCGCTGTCACCTTGTGTGTTATACTATTGATAAAGTCACCATAAATGTTTCATTGAGATGCCACCAGTGATAGCTCACACTGCCCAGTTTACAAGGAAATGCAAAAGGATTGGTGAATAACATGTCAACTTCCTGACGTCTTCTTTTTCTTAATGAAATCAGAAGACAATATTTAAAAATAATTTAGAAACTATTACAAGAAAAAACAGTGAATTTATTAATTTTTCCACAATTTAATTACTGTTAATTTCCTTTCTTTGAAAACTGATGTCTCTTTTTAAAGATTGAACTACATAAAAACTGTCATGAATATTTACCAATAAAGGTAAGGTTTCTAATTTTTTGTAATGATGTTGTACAGAAACTTTTCTTTCCTTTTTCATTTAGGCCGTTCAGGTAATCACCAGAAGAGTAATCACAAAAAGATATGAAAGACATGTTAATGAACTAAAGAAATGACTGTATGGAACCATCAAAGAGACAGTTACCACATTCAGCCTTTAATGTCTTATCAAATAAATTCTCTGGTCATTCATGTCCATAAAACAGTTCAAGTTCACTCAACATTTCTCAATTAAATTAGATGGGTAATCTCAGTTCAGCTCTTCTGGAGAGTAATAAACCACATTGGTCACAGTTGACCACAGCTAGTATGTGTTTCATAAAGGACTGGCTGTCCATTGGAAAGCTAATCAGTGCACCCTTACTTGTAAAATTCCCTCCCGCATTTTGAAGTGATAATCTGTATCTAATTTTTAAAGAAAAATTTACTTTCCTTTCACTCTTCGGAGGCCAGTTTCTTTTCTGGACCTGAATAGAGATCATTGGTGAAACAGTACCAAATAGCTTTGGTATGTGTGTAACAAAAACCCACCTCTTTGTAGAACATAACAAATTATGCAATGTTCACAGATGGGCTTCACATTGTGCCTTTTGTGAGAAAATGAAGGCCCAACCCTATTACCCTCCCCCCTCTTTATGAAAGACTGGGCTCCCAATGCAATCTGTCTGTCCTAATCCTAGGGAAAAATAAATATATTTAATATGGAAGCTTTAGATAGTTATTTTTAAAGGGATTTTCATTTGGACTTTTAGTCCATGTAATTTGCACAAGTATAAATTTGAAGTTATAAGCAGTTGTTTCTATAAACAAGCAAATAACTTGGGGCCTAAGGATTAAAATTTAACTGCTCCTCTACTGTACCTTTGACATTTAGATATTTAATGGGAATGCTATTTTCACACAATCTCATGCTTGAATTTATAGGTTACCAAAAGAAATATAGTGATTTTTCAATTATAATTTTTAAAATATACACACTGAAAATATTTTAAATCTTATTTCTATATTTTGGTTTTTTATTATCCTTATGGGGGAAAAGCCTATTAATAGATAATCCTGAAGAACAAGGTAGCAATTTCTGCAGATGTGGTAAAGAATGCAGAGAGGGCTTCTCAGGCCCACCCAACTTCATGGGACCCCTGTAAATCCCGGTATTACTTTTATTGAATGTGCTGGTCTTCGAGCATAAATTGCAGGTGCTGAGAAGACTCTTTGCATCCTCAGCGCCTAGCCCAGGGCTTTGCTTATAGTAGGTGTTCATAAAGTCATGGAATGAATGAATGAATGGATTAACAAAGAGAAGGTGAAATTTAGAAGGTTAAGTAGTGTGGCCTTTGGGATCCACAGCCTTTGCAGTTCCCTCCCACATTGACTCTGGTCTTGGTCATCAGACTTGCTCAGACCAATGGGACAGGAGCGAATGTGGTGCCAGCAGAGACTTGACCAGTTGTTGTTCACTGGAGCTTGCTCTCTTCTGCTGCTCTTGAGAACCCCGAGGCCATCATGAAAGCAAGACTGGGTTAGCCTGCTCAATGATGAGAAACACAAGTGTGGTTGCCCCTGTCACCCTAGCAGACAGCCAGCATGAGGCCATCAATGGCTGACTAACAATAGAATATGAGTGAGCCGCAGCAAGACCAGGCAGAAGACCTACCACCTAGCTGAAGGCATGTATAAAGGCACAGAAGCATGGAATAGCATGAAATAGCAGGGAACAGCAAGTCATTTGTTACAACTAGATTAGAGAGCTCATGTGGGGAGAGGCAAGGGTGACGAATGGTCTTATATGTTAAACTGAAGAACTTGGTTTTATCCTGAAAGCCATAGACATCTATTGAAGGATTAATAACAAAATGTGTAAAAGCGAACCAACGAATGAAATTCTTAGCGACTCCAACACTTAAGA